GGATTGGTCAGCTTTGGTTTACACTCATCTTCATACATGATATAAAGCCATTAAATGATGAGTTCAAATACTTTTCAATCTATTTTAATTTGGCTTGTTAGATAGCATAGTTAACGCTTACATATGCACAAATTGAAAAATGAGGAGGTTTACTTTTAGGTTTCACATTATATTTTTGGTAAGTTATTGTTAAGCTTATTGTTTTTGATCATCAATTCATTAGCTTACCAATATACGATTATTTCCACTTATACCGAGATAATTAAAGAAAATGATAGGAAACCTGTATCATTACTGATTCTAGCTCGCTTCCTGCCGAGTTGACGGTCTTGTACTTCATCGGTGGAGTAATGTGATCCGACTGGTGACAATAACAACAACAAGCTCCAATCACCATCAATGGGAGAAACTTGAAGGAAGTAGCCTCTTTCACCTATCTAAGCAGCACTGTCTCAACTACAGGCAGTGGCACAGATGAGGACGTCAAAGCCAGCCAGGATCGGAAAGACACCAAGACAGGCCTTCCTGCATTAATCTGAAACCAGTGTGGAGATCTTCTGCACTGCACTCAGCATGTGGAACAACATCCGGATTTTCAACACCAACGTCAAGTCAGTGCTCCTATATGGTTCAGAAAGTTGGCACGTTACTAAAGGCATTTCCAATAAACTACAGACATAAATCATCAACAACTGCCTACACTGGCTCGTTACTGAAGACCAGATGGCCAGAACGATAGGGATGAACAACAAGGAACTGTAGCCGGGCAACGAACCAACGAAGCAAGAACCCATCGCCCAACAAATATGCATTGGAAGGAAGTGGAGATGGATTGGATTTGGCATACACTGAGAAGGCTGATTGGGGATATCAGGCACCAGGCCAGACCCTGGAGTGGAAGCAAGATGGGAAACGACGAGTTGGGCGTCCGAGGTGAGGGTGATATGGAGGAGATTGTGCGAGGAGGAAATGAGAGCTTGTGGGCAGTTGTGGAGCCAGGTTCGAAAGATTTCAGAGAAGAGAGTACAGTGGAGACGTGCTACTGATTGCTTATGTTCCATTAGGAACCCAAGGGACAAATAATAATAATGTCTACATTATTGACGGTCAAAATGATATAGGATTACGAAGTTCACTGTCTGATACATACTTTATACCAGGTCACAATACCAGTTGATTTTCTGGATTAAGATAGGTGAAGTGAAAATTGCTCATTATAAGTCAGTGGATGCAATCTGACAAACTGAAGTAGTGAATTACTGAACCACATCAATCCTGGTAAACCTTATAATCACAATCATTATTAAACAGCTAGAATTATAGCCATGGCATTGATTACTATCCTAGAAATAAGATCAGTAGATTTGTGAAAGATATGTCGATGGATAAACCGACAGATAGATGAACGAAGGTCAAAGGATTAAAAAACTGATATGCATTCGGCTATCTGAACCACACAGTAAAGAAATGAACAGAATCACACTTCAAAGTTACTTCATTATTCCTCACATAGTAAATCATTTATCAAAGATCGACTAAATTGACAGATTTAAATAATCGCTGCTGATTGTCGCTGGTGTATATACATATATAACCTTTATTATCAAATACGTTTCGGTGTGTTAAAGCAAGACAATAATGATAATAACGACCATGGTTACTATGCTAGAGCAAAGATTAACGACAGACAGGGAAAAGAAAGATGAAAAGAAGGAATTTTCATGTCACTGGAATAATGACATACCAGTCTGAGGTCAAAATTAGTTGTCTGGGTCATTTGGTGTTGCTGACTTGTTTGCCCTGTAATGAATTGAGTGGTTGCGTTTTTCGCATAGATGAGTCATGTGCAGAATGCTTTTAAACATATGGATACAGGGAAGTTACATAATTGGAGCTAGTTTGATTATTGTTGGTGGGGATCGCAGATGTTATAGACAGTCGGTTAGCTAAAGATCTTCAACCAGTCTTTGCTGTCTAGATTAAACAGACTTTGATATTTTTTTGAGGGGGCAGTTTACCGGCAAATGATTATGATAATAAAAGTCCGTATCTGGACAATTGGGAGAAAATGGAAAATACTGTAGACTCACAACTTGTTTAGCAACAACAAAATTATACTGATCGGTCATTGAAAAGTGACCTATATTATGTTACCCGGTGTTCGACGGTGATTAGTTCTTATGCATCCGGTTTGGACAGTGATCACCAGGCTATGAGACTAACTACCGCTATAAAAGAATGGTTCAGTGTAAAAATGTTCTACTGCATCCCTGGGTGACACACTTTTGAATCTTAAGGTTAAAAACGCATATTGCTGATGAATGCCAACAAGTAAGGAACCTAGGTCCAGGATTGCCAGGTAATTATTGTGAAAACTGCTATCTTCTTTGATTATTTGGATTTTCCACTAAAGGCACAGTGAGATGATTAACTGATATTGTTTCACCAAAATCTTGAGTAAAGTAATGTTGAGTAAATTAGATCAGCTGTGGAGTTGGACTGGCATTTCGCCCTGCAATCTAGTTTCAAACACCGGGTAACGAGTTCGCATCACACAACTGCCCTAACATATTAGGTTTAGATTATTGTCAAATGTACGGATTTGCACCTTGTTGCCTAAATTGTTCGGAGAATTGCTTTCTATCTTAGATGACTAAGGTTAGTAATCAGCGACAACGGTATCGTTGCGGGTTTCATATTTCTAAATTTATCAGCTGCATCGATGAGGAAACTCATATATCCTTTGCAATTCAGATTGTTTGTTCATTAGCAAAGTTGGAAGTATTCTTTGTAGTCACAATCACATTCGTCTGCGAAAGTGAATTCTATGTGTAAAGTTATTATTGAACAGTATTGTTGAATACTTGTTTCCACAGGACCTTTCTGTTTACTTTCAGTCATTTAGTACTTCAATTGTGCATAAACTAAGACAATCTTTTTCTAACTTTTAGTGAACTGATGGCTTTTGTTGATCACTGTACGAGTTTATTACTGACACAACGTTTTCTAATTCCCTCCTGAAGGAAAACAATGGATTGACTCACATATATGTAGAATTCAATTATACAATCGGGAACTGACAATGTAGTTTTTAAATTTCACTTAACATTCATCTAAGTGTTATAACACATGTCAGTATAGGGAATATAAATTTAGATAAATGTACATATGCCTTAGTATGTTCATAGTAGTTTACATTTATTAGTTCATAGTTATCATTAAAGGTGATTGTTATCCGAGGAACATTATCCAACCACAACCCTTTTTTGTCATCCATATGAGAATGCTGAGGTTTGGTGAAAATGACTTTGGTTTATGAATCAATGAACTCGTATTTTCATTTTCATTCCATCTGTTATACAGTATGAGGAATAATCTAACCAAAAAATCAAATGTACGAGTTCATACATTGATGTATAAGCTACAACTATTGTATGAAGCTTGGTAATACCCTC